ATAAATCATTTCCATCCTTGCAAGCTCTCTTTTCTGACTAAGACTTAATTACTTTCTCATGAAATTTTTCTATGGATTCTAAGTCTTTATCTAATATTATTATTATGAATGCGTTTCTCATTTTTAGCTTTTGGGTCTAGTTAAATTTTTCATAATCTTTGTAAATCTACTAATAAATATGTGACGTTTTTTTCATTTCATTATTAATATCGTTCTGCTTGAGATGGAACCATTTTGGATGATTCCTTCCTTTGAGCTAATTTTTGGACAATAATATACATACAATTTCATCCCTGCCATCATAATTAGTCTGTTCATAAATAGGAGAAAATTATTAACTTTAAAAAGTATACTCACTTTATAGCATATTTTGGTAGTTACATCATCAATCTAAGACTGCCAGAGAAGATCCACCTCATCATTCCATAATACTATAGTTAATCAGTATTCAATTAGTACATATAAAATTTGTTTCTTTTATGCCTCATTTATGGTTTCCCTTTTTTACATTTATTCTGTTACTCTGCCGTTTTATATTGCCTTAATGCTAGTATCAACCCATTCTTTGTGGTGAAGCATATTATCCCAATCTATATTTATCCCTTCAATCCTTCCTTTAATTATAAACGAATTTTTTAAGACCTAGGGTTGTCATTTCATGTTGCCTTTTTGGTTCTCAAGTTACTGGTAGCTATAATCTATAAAAATTTATCAAAATAATAATACCTCCCTAGGAATATATATAAATTCCTGTTTAAAAATCACTTTCAGATTATGGTACTGATATCTGAGAAATCCTTACTCAACACTCTTTAAATCAATATAATTATTATATTATAATATATCAAATCTACTAGAAAACAAAATTTTAATAAAATTAGAGTATAAAATTAATATTAGTTTTGAAAAATAAAAACTAAAATACATCATCCTTACTTATTTATATACATTTCATTAAAATAGTTTTGATCACAAAATTAAAACTCAATTATATTTCTTGACTAAGATATCAATAAATTCATTTTAAGAAATCTAACCATCTACCATTGGAATCACACAAAGCTAAGAGTTCGTTCCAAAAATTTTCATTGTTTCCTCCACTAAATTCTTTAAAATCATCCTCATTTATATAACCATCACCATTCTAAATTGATTAAATAATTTACTAAATCAAACATCGAAAATGCTTATCTTAATCTAAATTTATTTAATAATTTCTCCTCATCAACAGCAGCTGTAATAAATTCTGTGTAATCCACAATACCAGATTTATTTGTATCTAATTTTTCAAAGATTTAATCTACCATTTGATTTGCTTTGATATCATTGTATTATTGCATATAGACTATGATTATCTTATGTTTACCTAAAATTAAATCTTCCTTGTTAATTTAACCATTACCATCTTTATCTATTTTTCTGAATTCTTAAAGCAAAACCTCTTTTTCTTCATTCGTCATGAGATTAGTTGAAATGAATTGCATCAATGCAGCTCTCACCTTATTTTTACACTAAAAATAATAGGAATAGTATACAAAAAAAGAATTCAAATTTTTAATTGCTTCGAGCTTACAAGGAGCTATAGGTGCATTTTTTTAAATCCATGGATCATTCAAAGCCTCTTACGCCGAAATTCTTTTAGTAAAATCCATCGTCAGCATCTTATTAATCAAATTTTTCGCGTCATTAGATATAGTATCCCAATCTTCATCTATAAATCTTAATTGAAAATAGATACAATCAAATTCGTACTTCCCAATTTCAACTTTTTATAATATCTCTTTATATTCACCTCCAAATGGTGGATAACCACATAACATTATGTAAAGAATAACTCCGCAACTCCACACATCACATTTTTCATTATAATTTCTTTTCAATATCTCAGGAGCGATAAAATATGGCTAATAGATTAACAATGTAGTAATACGACTCCACATTTTTTAGTTAAAAATTAATTGTTTTCAATTTTGCAGGATGATCCAAAATCAATAATCTTCAAATTCGAATTGGGTTTCTTGCTTGAAAAAATGATGTTTTCTGGTTTTAAATCTCTATGAACAATTTTTTTCTCATGACAATGTACTACTGCTCCTAATATTTGTCTCATATAATCTGCAGCCATTTTCTCAGTTAAATGTTTCAGGTTTGTAATCTTGTCAAATAATTCCTCTCCCTCTAGATATCTAATTATGCTTATAACTCTTACTCAGTTATTAGATAATAATTTTTTTCATCCTAAAATAGTTCATGCAGTTTAAATATGTTAGGATGATCTAATTCTTTAAGGATATTGGCTTCTAAGAGCGTGTTTTTCTCATTTTCTTGGAATTATTATCCTGCATTCTCTTTTCTTACCTATTTCATTGCCCTTTTAAATCCTGTACTTTTATGAATAACTAATCGAACTTACCCGTATGCCCCTTGTAAATTATTATATCATTTGAAACCTTATCCCAAAAGTTTGTCCACTTTGTAAAACTGAAAAATAGAACCCTATTTAAGAGATA